TTTTGGGTTTTTTTTTTTTTTTTATGTTATTTCTTGGTCAAAGGCTAAACTTGAATATTGGCCGTTTCAACCGGCTAATCACAGATCTTTCCTCCAATCTTCGTCATATTGAATGCGTCAAGTCACGTTTTCACTAGAGAATAATCGTCGAATAATTGTCACATCCTATATTCGAAGTGACATTGTTATCTTGATTTTTAATAAGAAATTTATTTTTTGAACTAACTGTTGAGATTTAAGTAGTACATTTTCTGTATTATGTTAACTAAAATTAATAAAAGTGTATTTATGTGAACTTAAGACATCTTCACGGTAGGCCTAAACAAATATTGTGTTTAACAAGTTTGTAGGCGATAAATGAAAATCAACTCTTTATTTAAATTTACTACTTTAAACTATGATATTTTATTAAATTGATATGTCTAAATCTATCGTCTCATCAATCTCACTTCCGCCCGCATCCTCCTCTCCCAACCTATCCCAACCCCCAGTCCCCCGGTTTTCCGATAACTAGGGAGCTCCCCAACCCCAACCCAACTCAAGAACTCCTTGATTTTTGCAAACTAGGGCCGGGGCCGGGGTCGGGGTTGGGAAGAGGGTGAAGGCTAGTTCTAAGGTTTGAAGAAGAAAGTTATTTCTTTTCCTTTTCCTTTTTTTATTTTTTATTTTTAATTATTCTTTTAAGAAAAAATGGAATTAATAGCTAGTAGCTACCCTTTTCAAGTGGTCAAATGCACTTCAAGTGGCCGTTAAAGAGAATTTTAAAATGTTTTCTTGCAATCGGACCGACTTGCACAAACATTGATAATTTTATGGTGCTGAATGCTAAGAAAAAAAGGAAAGAAGAAAATTGAATGGAAATCCGACTGCTCCAAGAGGTAATGTTTAGGGACCTCAGCTGCAATGTTTTCTTCTTTCCCTCCAAAGTCATACAGAATTCACAAAGAATGTTTCTCAACATAAATGTCACAAAAAAGTCTCATTACGTGGCACTTCTCTTTTAATGGTAAGATTTTAGAATCCGTTTGATTTGTTTAAATTTCATGAAAAATGTCACTTTTGAGTAATTCAATTTTTACTTTAGCTGTTTTATTCGAAAGTGAAACTGGAGTTCGAATTCCGATGTACAACTACTTTAAACTTATTTTTTTGCCAATTTTATAAAAAAATGCATTCCTATGGGTTACTTTGATTTTTATTTTTCAACTTATACGGAATTGAAAAGCCCTTTCACATTTGTCAATCAAACGGACCCTTAAAGTTAATGTTCAGGGTAAAATGGTTGAGACTTTCCTAAACCAAGACATCAAACTACAAGCAAACAATATTACTTATCAAATACGTTGACATGTATGATTACATTTAAACTTCTATTGTCAACTTAGACATTGGAAGGGCACGGGAAATTACTCCAATACCCTTTATTGCAGGTTTTTCCAAAGTATGAAATGGTTCAAATGAGGGAGAGAAATTTCTGGATCCTTAGATAGCATATTGTAACACAGGAAATTCAGAATAATTCTTTCAAATTAAATTCTGTTCTTCTTCTTACATAATATAATCATAATCTTCCATTGCCTCGACAAACATCATCCCATTAATCATGTACTTAAAATTTTATAAAAACGTGATGATGTGACGAACTTACTAAGCACAATCCATTGATCATTTTATCTCGATTAGACGCAACCTTGAGCAAGCCCATTTCAATCTCAATTTTAGAACGCTAAACCCGTTTCAATATCAAAGCTAGGACATCGTAATCACATCATAGGAAGATTATCGATCATTTCATCTCAATTAGACTGATACTTGAGCAAGCTCATTTCAATCTCAACTTAAACGAACCAGGATCATCTATATGTTTAAATATCGAGCACGCATAGTCCATACTGCCCCATTCTGAAAGAGCATAAGTGGCAACAAGATTGCTGGCACAAAAGGATTTACAAAATAATCCGAACTGTAGAATTTGAGCATGCACTTGCTTCAATTCTTCTATATTAGTGCATTTCTTCAAAAGTAAGATACATTCTTGTTCCCTTTTTGAACTTGAATCAATTTCTAGGCTATTACCATTAGTAGGAATCGACAACTTGGGCTGATGAAGGACTGATGATCCCACCATAATTTCATATCATAATTCGAGACAATAAAGATTGAGAAAATGAACCATTATAATAGATTGATGGCCGGCCGGCCGACCTGAATCAAAGCAAAGGAAAAATCAGTAGACTATGCCAATTTGGGCAGGTTGCTCTCCCTTGTCATTCTTAGAAGCAAGAGAAAGGGCCGAGAAAAACGATAATATTGAACATTGACATCGATACATGATCTTTGGAACATCTTGGAGGACTTGTGGGTTCGATAAAGGGGAGTGACTGACTCACTCATCCATGAGATTTAGACACAATTTAAGCCAAGAATTTTTCCAGCTTATCGGATTTGCAGATACTACATAGGATAATATTTGTGTTATTAGATTGTATGATCCACAAGATAGATACTTCAAATTGAAAAGTAAGCCTCTGTTTGACAAATTTTATACGGATAAAATTGAGTTTTTAATAGTGATTTTTTAAAGATTGTTTGTTTAAAAAGTAGGTAAAAGTTTTGAGTTTATGTACTCAATATTTTATTGTATGAATTGAAAATCAGTATGCAAAAAAATAGTTTTGAAATAATGATTGTCAAATAGAGGCTAAATGCTAAAATTTATAGGCTGATTTACAGGTGGTGATGTGGCAAAATTTCGTTAGAGTTCGACAAAAAGCGAAGTTAAATCAACCAATGAAATCTTCCAACATCACCACCTGTAAACTAACTTATAAATGTCCGTGTACAAGTAGCATTTTTATTTTACAAATAATTGTCCATTTTGTGTAGGAACGAGTTTTAATATTTTTTTATAGAGGTTCACATCTACCGTTCTAGAGATAATGATTGCAATAAAAATTTAGTTCGTGTTTTTGTAATAATATGATGCTTGGCTAATTGTACAAATGTTAGAATAACAATGAATTCTATATTTTGATGTTTTGATAATAATTTTCAAATTTCGACAAGTCCCTCTTCGATTTAATCACACATTTTGAGGAACTTATAACTTTTATCGACTTTTCAACTACACATTTCATCGATTTCTATCAAAATCTACTAAAAATTTGATTTTTAACAAAATCAAACAAGGACTAAATATTTGTTTTGTTCTGAATAATTGCTATAATCATAATGCTTTTCAATTACTTGGCCATACATTTAATTAATTTGTGATTTCTATTAACACTCGGGAAAATGAATTGGTACTTAACATATAGTAACAATTATTGTGTAAGTCATATACACATTTAGGAATAATTGTATATGTTTTCCATTATCTCATTGAACTGTTCTTGATATTTAATGCATCTTCATATGTTCATATTTGTAATATAAATATATCGGATCATATGTGAAGATATATTTAATTTCATTAGAGAGATATTAGTAAATAAAATAAGAACATTTATCATCAAAACCTAACAAACGTTGTCAAAATATGGGATTGATATTAAGATGGAATAATATAGGGGTATTCGAAGTCGTGATGCTTTGTTCATTAATTGAGTATTCATAAACACTTCCCAGTTAGTTTAATAGCTAGATTAGTCGATTAAAAGTTAATTCTATACTTGGACTCTATGCCCAATTTATTACTTGTTCACGATACTGTACACTTACAGAATTGATTTAGTAAAATACGGAACATTTCTGTTGAGGAAATTCTTGACTTTGCTTAACTATTATTAATTAAAGAACAAGATTGATAGAAAGTATGCTTAGTTGCGCAGCCGAACGGCAATCAAGGGATGTTTTGCACTTAATGGAACTCTCTTTCAAGCTAATTAGATTAATATTTATCCTTTCTACTGTTAATCCTAGCATAACTCTGTTCTTGGCCATGCTTTATTACTCACAAACGTCCCCTGTTCGACTTGGATAAAAACAAATTTTTAGCAGATTTTGATAAAAGTTTTTTGAAAATTGATGTAAATTTTGTCATTTATATTCAACGTAGGGGCAATGATGAAAAATGGGCTAGGCCCAAAGCTGTTGGAATTTTTTGGAATTAAAACTATTGCCCAATAACTTAAAAGGAGAAAGCCTAAGACCCAACTCAACTTAAAAGCCAAGTGTGCTGCTCTAGTCCGTTGGATCTTCAGCCTAATCTACGGTGGAGTGGCTGCCTATATATGAGATATTGGATGGCCATTTTTCGTGTGTTTTTCATTCTGTTCTGTTTTTGGCTTAGTGCTAAAGCTTCTGGGGTTACTGTTCTTCGTATTCTCTCTATCCTCTCTTTCGATTCTTTGTGATTCTAGTCTTGGTGATTGTTCGATTGAGGTCTTAGAGATGTTAAATTGGCTGTAGAATCTTCGAACCATTGTAGTAGCTGCTCTGTGCGGTTTGGGTTAGGGTTTGTGGTCTTTGTGGCTTATTCTTTTGTACAGACAGGTACAATATTCTTTGTGAATTTTCTGAGCCCTATATTGAAGAAAGAACTGTATTCTTATTGATTGAATTGTGTTCTAAGAGAATCTCGTTTTTGCTTCCGTTGTGGTTTGTGTCCTCACAAGTGGTATCAGAGCATTAGTAATGCGTGATTGAGTTTTCGATTGATGTTTTGTCACTGGAAAATTGATTTTCTGTTGATGCACTAAAAATCGAGTGAACTCCAGGAATCCTAAATTTTTTCCACTTNGCTTCCATTGTTGGTTTAATTCCTTACAAGTGGTATCAGTAGTTAGTAAGGCGTGATTGAGGCTTCGATTGTTGGTTTGTCACTGGAAAATTGATTTCCAGTTGATGCCCTAAAATCGATTGAATTACAGAAACCCTAATTTTTCCCCCTTTTTCGTTTTGGTCACTAATTCTCTCTGTTTTGTATTTCTTGTTGAGGGACATTGATTCTTGGTGAACCTGGCTAGAGTTGTGACCTTCGAGTTGTCCGTCACTGGTTGTTGAATTCTGCTTAGTGCTTGATTCTTCGAACCAGCCTTAGTGAAATACTTCTTAAACCCCCTGCATTCCCTGGTTTTGATTGTTTCATTACTACATTCTGAATATTGTCACTTTCCCTTCATTTCCCCTGTAAATTGGTGCTCCCAGGTGTTAGGATTGAGCTTTAACCTGAGGTCTTGAACCTCATAGAATCCTAATGAATCCTAATACCTGTAGTTTTTTGGATCATTAGATATTAATCAGTTTGATATATAGTAGCATTATTCTTTGTGAATCC